TAAGCCATCATGACTATCTTAATGCTATCAACATTCTTAAGTGCAGCAAGAAAGCTCAGTTAATTGAACCATCAAATAATATGACATAAGACCTAGTCTTGTTAATCATCATACATATATATATATATATAGAGAGAGAGAGAAGCATATGTAAACCATTGTACATTCAGCCTGTCAAAATGTTTTAATTATTCAGTCAGAACAGTATGATTGCACGAATCATTTCAGTGTTCACCACAGAGTAAGCTGGAAAATGGTCTTGATGAAATAACTACATAGCAATTTTTAAACAAAATTGTAGGTATAAGTAAGGAAGGCATAGAGCAGGTATAAGTCAGGTCTAGGACTGCTCAGAAAACATCATTTTTTCTGCTCTCTCTGCTAAGCCCTTTCCAATTCAGATAATGTTTCCATTCTGCTGCAGGCTTCTCTCAGGAAATTAATTTCTTAGTTTGATGTCACCTGAGGACATACATATGAACCACCTACCACCTCTGTAGTTTCCTTTCTTTCCAATGCTGTGTTACATCTTAACATTTCACATAACAACTGTAAGACAGACAACATGATCTTATTGTAAACTCTCTAAAATACTGCACCACACTCTATGGAATTGTACAAATAAAAGTAAGATAGCATCACTCTTGAGGATTTTTTTGTACTCTGAATGTACTCTTTCACAGGGCAATGTACTGGGCAAAACTGAAGATTTTGGCCAACAGGAAACAAGGCTGGAAGAAGGCTGATTTCCTCTCCTTTTCATTCTTTTACAGCATATTCTTGATTTCATTCCCTTCATAATATTTCCACCATGTTGCAGGAGGAAAGGGGATGGATGTTTTCTAGAGGGGATAATTGCAGGAAATATTCTGCATAACAGGGTGAGATACTAAATTAGAGAGGACTCTTTCTTATCTGGTGTGTTTGCAGAGGAATGCATTAAACAGAAGTCCTTTAAGGTACATTAAGCTTGACAGTTGTCTTTCCTCCGCTGTGAGTTTGGCACACGTGACTGCTGTGAGACAAGGATCCAGGCTGCCACTCACTCTCACTTTAATGCCAGCTCAATCCCAACATTCTCCAGTGTCTAGTGAATTTGTAGTGAGATATTCTGAAGAAGTTTTCCTTTTCCCTCACTTTTTCAAATTAACTTAATATAGTGTAAAGCGAGAGTTTATGATCCCAGAGAGAAATATACCATACAGACTAAAACAGCATAAAAAGTATCAGGATAGGCTTTCCAGCATCCCCCAGTGTCTCAACTCTGAGCCAAAGGGACTATTTCCTAATCAAAGCCCTCACATTTTTCATTCTTTGCTCCTCTTTTGATAACAGAAGGCCCAGACAAACAGAAGCAGATAGAAACTCTATTCTGCTGTTCATGCAAGCCTGTACACAAAATGCCTCCCATAGGCTGCTTTCCACCAGCCCTGCTATTTCATTTAATCCATTCAGTCCTGAAGAAGGATCAACTTAGGCAATTAGACAAGGGATGTGGGCTCTGAGGGATAATTGGATGACTTGCGTGCAATAGACTTCTTGCACGGTTTCTTCACTCTTTTCTTTTGGTCTCTTTGCTCATCCCTTTGTTTCTCATCATTAATTTTTTTAATCAAGTTTGCAACACCCTTGCAGTTACAGCAAGAAAGTAATGTGACTGAGCAGCAAGAACCTGAACACCTACATTGCAGCTCCTGCTGTTTTATGCCTCTTTAAATTGTTCTGATGTGGTATCAAATGGGATGCAGCAGTCAAGGCTTCATTTTTGTATGTGCAGCACTGCTGAAGTTGCAGGGTGAGAATAAATGAGCTCAGATATCTTTGCCTAATCTCAGGTGAATCCTGGAAGAGAGCTCATATGGGGGGAAGAAGTATTACAGCAGAGTTTAATTGGTTATATTCTGGTGAATGGTGTTTGATTTATATCATAGCCAAGGACCTTACTGACATACATTAAGGACTGCTGAAATGTAATTATTATTTTTCTTTGTCCCCTATTACCATCTCCATCCCACCTTCTTGTCATCTCAAAGTCGAAAGTCTTGGAGCTCTTTCCACCTTGGGCACACAACCTCATTGTCATCCTTAGTCCTCAGCCTGATGCTTCTAACTTTCATTTCCTCCTATTTGGACATGTTCCTCTCACATCAACTACTTCCCTCATGTCATCCTTCTTAATATTGTATTTATTTACTGTATAGAATTGCCTTCCTCTCCTCACATGAGTTTAAACTTCTCTTAATTATTTTATTTCCTATACACTAGCACAATTTGTCGGACTGGATACACAGCAATTTAAAATCACATACAAGTTTCAATATTTCCCTCTAACATTACAATATAATTCTTTTTTATAATAAATTCCAATTAAATATTGATGATCATTATTATATCAACGATAAAAACCAATAACAATAAAAAATAAAAATCTGATCTTAACACTGCCTAGCTTGAATGTGAGATTGTGTACCCAGCTGCTGAATATGCAGAAGTCCTTTCCAGCACTCATCTGTAAGGAATAAAGTATTGCAGCCACAGCTACCAAGATTTGGATCAATCTGTAGGAATGACAGTTTTCCTTCTGGATTTTTCCTTCTGGATGTCCACATTCGACCTCACATGACAAACAGACACTATGTCCTGTAGACCTCCTCTAAAAACATGCTCAGGTAACACTGACAGGCATAATATGAAATCAGAACAGACTGTGCAGAACATTATAAAATACTGTAGGTTTCTTACAAATGAAAAACACCCATCAAAAACAAGGTCAAGAGCAGAACAAAATTTACTTCTCCTCCTACTAGGGGAGAGAGATATATGTATTCAAGAGATAGCTACCTTCAGATCAAGTATGGAGGATTTTAAGACAGGATAATTACCTGACTGAGAAAGAAATGGAAAATCACTTTTCAGAGCTCTTGAACGACTGGAGGTAGCTCTGCTCTCAGTATTGCCTCGTTGAAGAGAAGGTTTGAATAGCTCAGGCAGAATGATGAAGGATGTGGCTGTTGAGTTGCTTGAAATGGCACTCCTGTGTTCTACCCAGAGAATATAAATTGACTGAAGACGGAGCAATGAAATAAGAGGGTGAAATTTGAAAGATATGATTAAACTAAGCACACAAAATGAGTGATGTTGCATTTGTCTACAAACAAAGAAGGAAAGGAAGATGGTAATGCTTTGTGTCTTTTCTGGTGAGATGTGGTGATAGCTGAGCTTGCTTTGTTCAGTTCTCAGCAGCAGTTAACTTGCTGTTATGTGACTGAGGAACACACATCAAAATAATTTTTCCTCCTTTCTCAGTATCTCAAGGGACACTCTCAGATAGGTACCGTGAATCTCAGATGGTTTGTATCTTTCTGCTGTAGACCTTAGTACATTCAAGAGAACATGGAGGCAATAAAGCAAAAAGCTTAGATTAAATACCAGGCAATTGTCTTCTCAAAGAGTTATAAGAGAAAGAGCCCACATAACGCTATTTCAATGTGCACCAAGCAAGTGATAGAATACACCACAGTAAGAACCACCACAGGAGCTCAGATCAAGTGACTAACAAGGTCTTCTCTGTAACTCTGTAGAAAATAGTTTCTGGAAGAATATCAAAAGGCAGTTCTCACAAGCATACAGGTGTTAACCTTGGTGCCCTGGCCATGATCCAGACCAGGTAATTAATTTTACACTTAAAAATCTCCTTCCATGCTCTCCTGGCTTGTCTCCAATCTCTGGCCCTGATTTATGCGCAATTAAAGAGCAGCAGTGTGTCACTGCACAGGTGAGTGGTGAGGGGATCAGCTGAGGGGTGAAGGTGTAGTTATATTAACTACAAGTCCCATCAGAGGTTATAGAGTTCTTCAGGGACCTTGCAAATATACTCTCTAGATGAAAGATAACCCTGCACAGACCATCCTATTCCTCACCTGTGCTTACAAGGAGGGCAGTTGATTTTTCTAGTTTTTTTTTCCCTGCAGAGGATAGCTGGCTCCCCTTTGTCCCAGCAAGCTCAGCAGGAGCTTCTTCTCCCTGATCTCCATCCTGCAGTGCTCCTGATCTCCACAGGAGAGTTGCTTTATTTCCCCCTCTTACCTCTGGTGTGCCCCTTCAGCTCCACAGGAGATCCTGTGTCTCCTGAGCATCCATCCCTGCAATGCACTCACCACCTGCAAATTCTAGCCCAGAATGAACATAGCAAGCTGGACTTGGAGAAATGCTCGGAAGCCTTTGTTTCAGAATTCACCACCAACACAGTATCATCTCTCTGCGAGTTATGATCTGTTTTTGTCCAGGAAATTGTGCAGATGAGCTGCAGAGCCTCGGTGTTAAAAGAGAAAAACAGAAAATCCTTTAGCAAAAGAAAGGCTGTCAGAGCCACACGTCCTACACAGCAGCAATCCTGCCCTAGCAGAACTAAGAATGTGTAAGGAGCAATCCAACAACACATACAGCTCTGAGTCATTTTTAAGGATACTTTCAGATGCATCATATTTGGTGGAGCTGAATTCTGTAAGCATAATACAAAACCTGTGAATAAAAGGAGAAAAGGCAACTTCCTGTTCAGCTTCCTTTATTTAAAGAAGCATCAGGAGTTATAGCTTGTTCTCAGACTTATTATTCAAGTTTTGAGAGTGTAGAAGGGGAAAAAGACAATAAATGCTTTCAAAATAATTAGAAACAGGACATGTAGTTAAGTGTATTCTGAAATACAAAAATACAACAGGTAAAAAAGCTACTATTGACAATCATTCAAGAAGTTCAGTGGTAATTATTTAGTAAGGTAATCATTATTTTAAAATTTCTTTTGATGCCTGAAAATTTTGATTCTCTTGTTTCATATTCCAAATATTATATGAAGTGATTCTTTAATTTTGGTTGGGATTTTTAGTTTATTTTTTATACACACACCAGACTCCTCTCTGAGTTGCACAGCATTAGAATGGGAGAAAATGGACACATGAAATTCTGATATAAAAAGCTTTTTCTTTTTGCTTTTGTTTTTCTAGCTAGCATGAAGCTGATCAAATACTGGAACAGACACCCAGGGAGCTGAATGAAATCTCCATCCTCAGAGATATTCAGGTCACAACTGCAGCCCCGAGCAACCTGACCTGACCAAGCCCACTCTGAGCAGGGGGTTGGACTAGATGACTTCTGGAGGTCACTTCCTCTGGAGCAGAAAAATTTTTAGAGATTTTCTAAATACAAAAATGTATAGACAGACATAAGCACATGAACATAAAAATTCTGTCACTGCTAAACACATTCTTGTATCAGCATTTCATTCTGCACGAGCATGTTATCTACTGAATGTGGACACACACATATGACAGGCTACATAAAAGATGGAGGCATCTGAGCCATGAGAGGGAATAATAAAAAACATAAGTGTGAGCTCCAATAAAGTAGGATTATTTCTGATACTGAATGGCATGTTGGCTTTACCTATTTTCCTGTTAAATTCTGACATCTTGAGCTGCAGCAATTTTAACTACAGAAGAACAGTACAACTAATGAAAGCTAATGAAATTCAGTCTGCATGAACTGTTCAGTGTGTATTCACAGGACAAATAACTTAGCTCTGACCATCTAAGCAAGACATAGAGGATGTTTCTGAAATTCTAATTAGACTGAATTGAGGAACATTGCCTCATGGAAGAAAATAAAAAGATGGCCCTTCTCTAATTCACTGTGCCTTCACAGAATGGACATCAGGTGCGCCTGCCCAATGTGACACATTTCACATGAGCAAAGGGATGAGCAAAGGGAAATGAAGACGTGATGGTTTTCCAAGCACTCACAGAAAAGGATCAGGGACAGCCCACGGCTCCTGGACTGCTCCAACCCTCCGTGCTCAGTAACCAGCAACTCCTCGTTTGAACAACGTACCCAAATGGAAAGATTTCCAGATACTACTCTACAGGGAGATCTTCTGAGAAGAAACAGGTTATGAAGCTCAACTTAAAATAGAACATTTGGGAACTAGAAATTACCAGAGTATGATAATGTAGACAAAACTTAGATGAAGAGCCCTACTAAAGTAAAAGGAGCAATTTATTTTAATTGTACATCCTTTCACAGAATGCCTTTGCATAAATTCCCATAATTGCTCTTCTCCATGATCCCCCAAAGATTTAGACAAAAAAAACATTACTTAGAGCACTGTTTTAATACCAGGTTAGTTCTAGATGAACTATAAACGCCTAATGTAGTAACTGCACAATCTTAATAACTCTACCAACTTTTTAAAATTCCCTCTATCATGTCTCTAATATTTTTGCCTCACTTGCCATGTATAAAACCATACCTGCCCTCCGTTTTCAATGTCTGTTTGAGAACTTGTACTTTATCAGATACAGAGATTGAAAAAAACACTAATAAAAGCAAATGCATGGAAAATTGTTTCCACAGAAAAGAAGCCTCTGTCTTAAGTACAGTTTTAAAAAAAGTTGGATCAATTAGCAATCTGTGAATGTTAGAAACATCTTAACAATGTCTCAAAGATGAAAGAGCATATCACAGAATGAGGAAAGGGGAAAAAATTAAATTATGTCTGCAGTCCTAATGAATCAAAGCCCAGAAGGTGGTCTCCGAATCAGCGGGTTTTGATGAAATATTAAGAAAAATTATTATTGATGAAAAATGAATAAGCTCTTTTTGATTTTAGCAACCTTTAAATCACACTTTGCTAATTAAAATAGCTTCAGCACATCCCTCCATTCCTTGATGGGCATTTAGCAATCCTAAAAACGGGTGTGTTAATTTGACATTTCAGCCAATATGCATAGAGTTTATCTTAAGCTGGCAGACACAGCACAGTTTAAGATGATGTACAAAATAATACACAGAAAAACCTTTTTCTCCTTTTTTCTTTCTTTTTTTTTTTTTTTCACACTCTATCCACTAACACAATTACAAAGTAACAACAGGCAACTTCAGCTTGTTTTCTTTGCAGCATAGTAACATATACTGCCACTGTTAATGAGCCATGAACTATGTCTTGGGAAATAAAGACCAATGCTAATATTTTCTGTCTTCTTTGTTTGCCAGGTCAGAGCTCTTCCCATCCCAAAGATAAGTGGAAATGAAAAGTCTGAGGGACATTAGCTCTCACATCCCTTGAAGTCTAATTCTAATTGGTTTTTTAAATGTTGGGAGTAGAAATTATGTGTTCTTTTTGCATCTCAGTTTGTACTGTGTACTCTTTTAAATGGAAACCTAGGAATGAGGGAAGGCTGTAATCAACAACGAATTGTTGCACACAGAAGACATTTCATTACAGAAAGTAATGCAGCTCAGGCATGCCATGCATTATTGTTACAAAACTATACACACAAATTAAAAAGATGCAAAATCTGCTCCTCTGATTTTTCTTTTATAAATTAAGTCATATATATCACTGTCTAAACTCTGAGTAGATGAAATTACCTATCCATTACAAATATGTCATCTATTTACCATAATAACATTTGATATATCCATCATATAAGAAAGTGCTATGAGCACATCAAATTGAAAAGCTATTTAAATGCCACTAGTATTTTAAAGAATGAAAAAAATTTCATGGCAAGTAAGTCTGATTTTAGAAATAAGTCTGATGTTCTTCAGAAATACCTAATCATATAAAATAGGTCATGCAAGAAATCTTTCAGTGTTTCACATCACAGTGTTTGAGCCTTAAGGAACAAGATTTCAAACACCTTATAAACCAATTCTTTAACAATATATCATGAAGTACAGGACTGTGGGAATATACACTGTTTTCTGAGTGATGAGTGGAAAAGCACTGTTTTTCAGCTTTCCAACCAAGAACAAACTGAAATGAGATCTTTCAGCAATTTCTCAGTTTCCAGGGCTGCCAGTGTGGTATGTTTCATACGCATTCATTCAATGAGTTTACAATATGTTAAAAGGAATTAACTACTTCCCCCTGTAACCTATATGAAGTGATGCTATTTTCCTTCCTGAAGTTCACTGCAGAGGATTCCTCCCCACAATTAGACTCCACCACTTCCTTCAGTGACAAAGTACTTCGACCATAAGCAGGATGATTTGTAGGTCACATAAACAAACAAGACTGGCCATAAGGATAAACAGTGTAGTTAAATATAGTTTGTCTCATCTATGAAGGAGATATCATTCATAAAAATAGAAAATAAGGAAAATCCCTTAAAACCCTCCAATATTAGAACATTTTACTGTTCATTAGAAAGTAAAAAGCCAAGACTTCATGAAAACACAGGATTCTCTCCAAGCTCTTCCTGTGCACCCCTCTCCCATAACCAGACAAAGCTAAAAGGAAAAACCCCTAGTTCTTCAAATGCTTGGAAAGGAGAAGCCTGAATCCTTCAGCAAAGAGGAACAGATGGGTTGACTGGAGGGACATAAAAGACAAAAAGATCATAAATTTGTATTCTATTTAGAAAAGGCCACATTCAACAGCAACAACAAATTAAACTGATTAAATTATGGTGTTCAAGTGAGGCACAACATCAGTTTGCAATCCAAATTTTGGTTACTAGAACTTGCAAAGAACAGATTTTAGCAGTTTACACCGGTAGGATCAAAGCACTTGATTTAATGAATGGAAAAGCCTTTCCCTTTTCAGCTTTCTGCACTCAAATATTCCCCGTAATTTTCTCAGGATGAAGAATTTCAAGTTGCATTGATGCCATTAGTGGGACAAAAAGATGTGCACGTTACACACACAGCTGGGTTTTTGGACTGCAATCTCAAGCCATAAAATAACCATTTGATGCCCGAGACACAGCCTTTTCTAGCTTTTTCATACTAGGACATATAATTATAGTTTTATTTTTCCTTCTTTTTTTTTTTTAATTAAATATTAACTTCTACCATATGAAAAAAAAAATAAAGGTTTTTCTCTTTTTTAATCCAAGCAAAAAAACACTCAACTGATCTAGATCTGCGTGCAAATTGTACTAATATACCAACAAAAACCACATAATTCAGTCACAATGCATTTAAATTACTAATATATTGCAATGAAGTGACAATTTTTGACCCTCCTTTTATAAACAGCCTCTCATCTGCACTTAAAGGAATTGAAATCACCCAGCTATGCAGATCTCCCAACCTCCAGCACCAGGAGCCCATCGCAGTCTCCCAGAACAGGGGCACCAAGGGCACCTTTGGGTGGGTCCCTCTTCACCTCCTGTTCCTGTAACCCAGAGCAGGAAGTTCATCTCTTATCTCTCTCTGCATTTGCCCACTGCAACCATTTGTAACTCCAGCTGCTTTTGTGAAAACAAACAAATAGCTGCCACACTTCTATTGCAGGGCAAGCCGGCCAGAGGAGAGGGGAAGGGAAGGGAAACCAGCAGGGTTTCAGGGAGGCTGTGGCTGTGGTAAATGGAGAAGGACGTGGTTCTCACAACAGTATCAGTGCTTGGTATCTATTCAGAGAGAGCAGGACTTTCAAGTAATTAAAATGGGAGACCTGAATAGAGTTCACTGTAAGTCTGCCATTTATTCCACCGAAGTGGTAACCCAAACAGGGGAGTGCAATTGCATACTTTCACAATAGGGAGCCAACATAAATCCTCATGAATTTATATTAAAACTTGTCTTATATTCTATCAAGATGGAAGAACAAAAGAAAACAACTAACCTAAGATAATAAAATGCCAATGCTAATAGTGTCTATTGGGTTCTAAATATACGGGTCTGTGAGAGACCAAGCTAATTTTTAGGCAGTCCTGGGGGCAAGGATTACTGGCTTATAGGATGAAGGATAGAGAAACAAAAAAACCCAATGTGTTAGCGCTAAAGTGAAATTAAACCCCATGAAGAGTCTCACAGAGGCTCTAACTAATCCTTCTCTGGGTTATAACAGACAGAGAAGGAAAAATACCACAATGACTTCCAAGTATTATTTTCAGTTTTACACATTAGAGAACTGCAAATAGTTCATTAACCCACTGGTTGCCTTGGAGAGTCTGATTATTCCATAGGGGCATATGTGCCATTTCCTAGGCCAGGAAAGTCTTTCCAAAAGTCAGATTCTCACAGGAATGAAAAGTAATTCATTTTGTAATGCCACAAAAAAGTGACACTGACTGGTAGGTGAGGATTTGAAACCTATGACTGTTAATTTTGGAAACATTACTGATTACTTATGGAGTTTGCTCTGAAATGTTTGCAACCTGAGTATTCTCAACAATATTTACCTGCATGAGTGGTACCTTACCCTGTAGCAGAGTGTCTGCAGCGCTCTGATGGCAGAGACTGATAAACAGGGAAGAACAAGGGATCCAAGAAATAGGAAAACACTTCCAGATCAGTGAAAAGAAGTAAACAGAGGTAGGAGGGAAGAGCTTACTCATAATCTTATTCAATATAGGTTGTTAGCCTTCTGCACAGCTCTGCAGGTTTTAAATGTCACTGGATAGATGGTTTGCAGTGCCATGGCCTTTCCCCTCATGAAAGTGCTCTTCAAGTCAACTTCCAGAGCCATCAGAAAATCTCTTCATCTAAGAAACATCCTAGCATTTACAGGATGCATCACCCGAGTAATAACTCCTATCTCTATCTCTGGTGGGCCTGGCAGTAAGCTCAGATTCCTACGCATAAATGATCCCACAGACTTAAGAACACTCCTGTGACTGACACTACTAATAAAGAAGTTTAATATAGCTGCACA